GCTGATGGCCTTGCAGCACTTCACTGTGTATGTGGGCTCTAGCTCCTTTCCAGTAACGGTGTATACAGATCACAATCCCCTTACTTTCCTCCAACGCATGTACAACCACAACCAGCGACTAATGCGCTTGGCATTGCTGGTGCAGGATTATGATCTGGTTATCCAACACAAGAAAGGGACTGAAAATCTGGTGGCTGTTCCACTCTCGCACAGCGCATAATGATGCGTTTGTTCTGTGTTTTGTATAGTGTGAATGTAAGGCTGTTACATCCTGTGAGGCTGTGGGAGTGTGTGGGAGTGTGTGGGCATTGTGTTGTCCTCTCCCTCTCCTCCTCCTTCTTTATTGCCCCTCCCCTGTCTCTCTCTGCCCCTGCCTTCTCCTTTTAGGACACACCTGCTGCTCATCTGCCCTCGTTTACCACCAATTACCCTCAGAGGTGAATTTAACCTGGAGGAGAGCAGTGTGGAGGTGGGAGAAGCTTCTGGTGGATTTCCTCTGTGCTGGTCTGTGTGTGAGTCTGGTCTAGGTGTTGAAAAGGCCTGCTGTGTGTGTGTGTGTGTGTGTGTGTGTGTGTGTGTGTGTGTGTGTGTGTGTGTGTGCGTGTGTGCGCGCGCGTGCGCGCGTGCGAGACCAGCCCCACTGTGCGTGTGACCAGCCCCACTGTGGTGAATAGCTCAACTGGGCAGTGGTTTTGCTTAAGTGACGGCGGCCTCCATTTCTTGGTTTGGCCTGCCTGGTTATTGCTAATAGCAGCGTTGCTGTCTTTTTCTGTTGAATCCTTGTTGTTTTCTTAGTTGAAGCGGCCACCATCTCTTTGGGTTGGCCTGTCTAAGTTATCATTAAAGCAGCGTTGCTGTCTCTTTTTGTTGTTACTGCTTATATGATTATTGGGTTAATTAATTATAATAAAGATTTATTTTGTGTTACACTCCTCTGCCTGGCGTCCTTTTCATTTCAACCCGGATCCAACTGTTACTATCCCCCACTCCCTTCACCTAGTTGTCATGTGGGGACGTAACAAAAGGGCAAACGGGCACTACCATAAAAGGAGATGGGGGTCAGGGTGTGAGCACCCTTGGCCACTGTACTAGTGTATTTCCATTGTGGGGGTGTTTACTGTAGGGGGGAGGAGACCAGAGGTTATAACTGTAACTGTTGTGTGGAGTTCTTTAGATCAGCCTTTAACATAGGACTGCATAGGAATGCAGTGTGCTGATCTCCAGATGCATCTGTAAGAATAATGGGTAATAAAAGGATTGTGTAAAACATGGAAACATCTGAGCATGATCTCTACCAGGACCAAAAGAATCGCAGAGACCGGTGTTGTCTCAACAATGTCCATACCTCTAGTTCATGTTCTCATTCCTAGTATTTGTTTCATGTATTGTAAATAAAACTTTCGTTCACATCTGCTCTTGGGTCCACTTCCGTTCTGGCTTCCAGCAGTACCCATATTCTTCTGTATTTCGTCCTTTGTCTCCCAGGCTGTTGTGTTTTTCACAGTCTCAGTGTCAAGCTTGTGTGTCCTTTTTGACTCTCAGTGTTCATGCTACTATTTTATTTTGGTAGTCCATGTTCATTATGTTTAGTTTTGCTTCCCCCTGTCCTGTTTTGTCAAAATTGTTCCTGCTGTGTTCCCAGCTGTTTGCCAAAGCAAAGGTGCCTTTGTCAAATGGGCTTACGTTTTCTTTTATAGTTCCCTGTTCAATTTTGGGTTGGGTTTTTTTTTTTGTATTATTTCACAATCAGCCTTAACTGAAGGTGGGCCGTTTATTATCTTCTTCCTGCCTCCCAGCATCTGCATGCACACCTTGCATACTCTGACTTAATGCTTTGATCTGAATGGACCAAGTGGATGCTTTCATGGAGCTCAGTGAGGAGATGGAGAGACTGAATTAGGGGTCTATGGACCTAAAGACTGTCAGTTGGTTTGGCAGCCATGGATGCTATCATCAGGAGGGATGATGGTGGTTTCCAATAATTGCCAAAATGTATGCTCATTTAGGTTTCAGCTGGAGAGAGGTTACAAGCCCTAGAGTTGCTTCATTCCTTCAGTAGCTCCTCATCACAACACCCTCTTTCCCAAGAGTCTCTACCCAAGCTGACTGTTTCCCCTCCTCCTGGCCCAGCTCTCTTTCTGGCAAGTCAGAGAGGAGCCTTCCCAGACCTCTCCATCCTCAGCCAGAAAGAAAGATTCTCTCCTTCTACTTTCTCTCCATCACCGCTCGGCTCTCCAGCCTCGCCACTGCCATTCTGCACCCCAGACATCCCGCTGTCTGGCCAGACACATGAGTAAGATCCTTTCTGTTAACACTGTTTTAAAAGAGTCAGTATTCGTGACATTCATTCCTGAGCTTAATCAAGCAAAGACAATGATTTGCTCTTGCATCTGCCATTCATGAAGAAGGGTTGTGCAATGTTTCAGAGCCATTTGCAATTAAACAATTCTGCATTTCTGAGAAAACTTAAAATGAAATCGCTCAGGTTATTAAGACTGTGTAATGAAGTGGTGTCAGAGGTTTTTAAGCCAGCTGCTGTTTCCTGTGTTTCCAGCTCAGCCATTACTGATACTAAAGGTTTTATTAATGTTGACCTTAAGGACAAGTGTTTTCTGCCTGCTCTGATATTGAGTCCATGTTTTCTGTTTATAAGCCAACTTTTCAGTTGGGAAAAGTTGAGAGTGCAAATATCCAGTGTTGGGGAGTAACGGAATACATGTACCGCCGTTACGTATTTAAAATACAAAATATGAGTAACTGTATTCCGTTACAGTTACCGTTTAAAAAGGTGGTATTTAGAATACAGTTACTTTGTTGAAATAAATGGATTACACGGCGGTACTTCCCTGTTTCATATTGTCGCGGGTCAGGACTGTTTGAGTTTTGTTTGACAGCTATGTTCTGTTGTTTCAGGCGGCAGCGTTACGGTTGCCATGGTTACATGGTTACCCCACACACATTGCCAACTTCAGACTTCCCGAACAATTCTTTGCTTTAGGCTTTAAAGTGAAACTCTCAGCACAGACTATAAACCTTGTCTGATCTCCTGCATTTCTCACCTGAAAATCTACCACGTGAAAATTCCTGTCCAAAACCTTTTTCCCCATTCTGGTCTTCTTAGGCACCAAATGCCAATAATCACACCCATATGTCAAAGGGTAATCATCAGCCAACACGGTGGTTTCCACAGCAGGTTTCAGTTTTTGTTTATATAAGTAGTGTTACTTCATTATTAATTAATCATGTTGTGATTTTGTATCTCTTCCTGAAAGTTTTGTGTCTCTTTATGGTTATTTTGTGTGTTTCGTGGTCATTGTGCACCTACTATGGTGCACAATGACCACGTTTGGACTGATTTTGCATCAGTGTGTAATTTGCATTTCATTGTAGATGGTTTGTCTAATATTGGCCCTCCCTGTGGCAGTTTTGTTTATCTTTGTTTAGTTTTTCCCTTTGTTTGGTTGGGGGGTTTTTTTTGTTTGTTTGTTTTTCTGTTTGAACCTTTTAATCATTATTTGAATGACTTATCAACAACAGTGTTGAGAGGTTCAGGACTTGAGCCACCAACTCGTTTGGTCCCTTGGTTAGGTTAGCGTCTGAAGAAAAGTATAAAAACTCTGCACTCACCCTGTGTTTGGTGTATAACAGCCATAATCACATCAGAATTGGTATGCCTCTTCTCCCTCTCTCCACATGTTTTTCTTCTGTGCGATCTTTCTTCAGAATGGGAGGAGCTCATGTGGCTCAGTTCCAAACTTGATGGCAATACCGGGAGGTTGCTCAACTGCTTCCTAGAATTATATTCTTCATTCATTGTTTTTTTTTTTTACATTCAGATTGCTGTTCTTTATCTGACTCTCTAGATTTGAGGATAGCTTTTTGTACCTTCTTCTGGGCCAACTGTTGATTTGAATGGATGTACATGCTGATGTTTGATAAAAATGGAACAACAGTGAGTATGAATGTTTCTGTCAGTTACCAAGCATGACAACACTGCTCTGCATGCAGATGGGTTACGTTTTCAGTATGAGTATGAATGAGCTAAATGTCAGCATTAGTCATCCAAGTTTACAGGCCTTAATTAAAATTTAGGTTTGCATTGTGGTTTTCTCCAGAAAACTTTCACTGAAATGATTAAAAATCAAGAGTTTTAAAGGCACCACCACATGTGGCTGCAGTGTATATTATTGAAAACGGACAACAGAAATCAGTGTTAAGTGTTACATGTTGATATTTATGGTACCTGGGGCTGCAGGAGTGGCAGCTTGTAGGAAGAGAAACTTGACAATGATGACGACGTTGATGAAGATATCCATCGTAACCCAGTCAGGCCAGTCATAAGGAATCTGGTTTGGGAATCAGGAAGTGGCATCGCATCTAGTTTCCGAGACGACACATGGGCCTTCACTATTGTCTGTTGTTTGCCATCGAATTTACATACCAGTACCACTGTCAATGAGTCCACCACACCCTGCTGCTCACTTCACACACACAGCTGCCCATGTGTCATTCACAAAGGCACCATTCAACATCGAAGTTAGAACAATGGACACTGCAGACTGATCAAACTTCCATACAGCTGTTAAGAAGTTCATTTACAGGTTCTGCTATACTAACAACCTGCTATGCTATGCTTACGAACCATGCCTTTTTTTTCCTGTTTATTTGTATAAAAACTCTCAAGTCTCTGACTTCTGCTTTAAATATACAACCGCAGGTGTCTGCATTGGACATTTCTGTTCTCGAGTTAGTTGTCCCTCTATTACCACAGGGCTTTAGGGGACCGGTTTAGCCGGTTATGTGGGATTTCAGCAGAACAGGAATATCAAGGGAGAACTTGCCCAGGCCTCTCTGTTTCTGCTCCTCAAGGGGACGACCGCCCTGACCGGTTTTCTGGGGTGGAGAGAAGAGATAGAGGCAGAGTGTGAAGAGGAGGAGGGTGTATGTGGGGCGTTCTCCTTCAACTCATTCTATTCTCATTCTTTTCTTTATCACACTTGGTCTCCCGCCGCCTGCATTTCACTACGTCCAGCTGTGGAAAAGAAGCGTTGGCTAAGGTAGAAGCGGCTGAGAGAGAGGCAGTCACTGGCTGTTTTGGTAAGTGGGAATTGATTTGGCTCTGAGTTGTTGCCTGAGGACGAGGATAGACTTGCTGACAAGTGAGCAGCTTTGGCAGGGATTGAGCCAACACAGAGAACAGGAAACAATCATGACCTTACTTTGGGGGCAATTACACATTTACTTCACATTGTGTTACACAATGTATTCATTTACAACCCATAAATATAAATAAATACAAAGGCACAGGGTTCTTTCATAAGGACACCTCTAGGGTTTATTTTAGGAGTTCAGAGAAAAGATATGTATTTAGAAGCTTTGTGGTCTTGAATTAAAATGTCTCTGTAATCATTCAGAATTAGTTCAATCTAAGTATATGGTCTTATTACATGCACGGTTAAAGCTAGCTTAGCAAGCAGAAACCCTGCCTGCTCTTATTTGTTTCGAACAGCATCAGCTGACATTGTGCGACAGCAGTGACTGAGGACTGAACCACAAAACTTCCTGTCTCTCTCACACACACACACACAGCTCACCTCTGGTTTTGAACAGAAAATGTCCTGTGCTGATGGGAGGTGTTTTTAATCCCTGTGTTAAAGCTGCAGTAGTGAAATGTGCCTCCAGTGTGCTCTTTATCTCTCTCTTAAGGTGTGTGCCATCTAGAACTACGTGTTTGCACATAACGTGCTAATGCTTCTGTCAACAGTCAGAAACGTGTGATGCAGTTAGCTCGTCAGAGCTAGTAGCCTGGAAATTCAGTGTAATTTCATAAATAATAATTTGTGTGTGTGTGTGTGTGTGTTTACATGCATGCGTAGGTGTGTGCATGTAGGGGTGTGTGTGTGTGTGTGTGTGTATGTGTAAGAGTGAATAATGATCTACCGATAGCAGAGCAGGAACATAAAAGCAGACAGGTCTTTTCTTGCTCTGCTGAGGTGATGTGAACAGCCAGTTGCCTAACATATCCTGACACGTTGAGAGAGCCGAATCCACGCCGATCAAAATGCTAAATCACAGTATTTGTGCTGTTAGCGATCATGTCTATGCATCTGCATAAATATGCAAACTTGTATGATTCATGTTAAATCTTTTCACACTCACTGTGCCAGTAAAATGCAGTGAGGTAAATTGTGGTATGAAAAATGGGTTTGATAATAGGGTTTTTGTTAAGGTCCCAGGTCTAAGGCTAGGGTTTTTGTATTATTAAATGAATAAGCAGAGGGAGAGCCGAATGTCTGCTGGACAACAGAGTCCTTTAAATGCATCCGTTATAAATCATCAGACAACCGAGGAAAGCAAACCAAATTTTTACAAGGAACTGGAAGAAGATACCAACAGACTCTTCATCAAATCAAGGATAACCAAACCGACGTATTTGTTTTTGTTTTAATGCTTTAAGATCTTAGACTCAAGCTAAAGGTTTGATTTTTGTTTGTTTGTTTTTTAATGTAAATGGATTTTGATCTATGTCACTTGCCATGACTGCTTTCTTTGTTTCTTGGTTGCCAAGACTCAGGAGAACTTCTTTTTGAAAGAAAATGTCATATTTAAATAGCCGATGGAGTTTGAATTGGGGTCATTGCTAATGATGCCCTAGGCCTCAAGGAACTGTGCTATACTGGAAATAAAAAGATTATATGAAAATGTTGGGATATGCAGATTGATGGCAAAAGGAAATTTGTTTTTAAACTTAGTTTGCAGCATGTCAGCTTTGAATTCCATCAAAAATATCAGGAAACTTTTTTGAAAGGACAGAAGAGATAGCCACCTAGACAAGTATGTATAGGTAGCTATCTCTTCTGTCCTTTCAAGTTTAAGTCTGACTTTTGTTTCAGCCAAAAGATGAGCATCTCATTTTGTCAGTTAATAGCTTTCATTCCATTTATGTGGTCAAAGGGGCAAATATTCTATAAAAAGATGTGTACATTTACCTAACCCTAACCCTATGATAGACAGGTTAGTGGTGACCTGAGTAAATTTACTACAAAGTAAATTTACATAGTCAGGCTTTCTTATCTGACTTTCATAACATGACTTGACAAAACCTAAAACTCTAGTCAGAGGTAACGGGTATTGCAGTCATAGTTGTTGGTTTCACTGTTCAGCTTTTTGCTTCAGGCACTGTCACATCAAAAAGAGCTTCTGCACAACATGATCCCTATAAGTGCTGCCTACGCCAATCAGATGGTAATTAAATGATGATAAAAAGAACAAACATAATAGTTAATTGCAACACTTTGACAAATAAGAAAGTAATGTTGCAGCGATGTGTTTATCTTGGGATTTAGAGCACAGAGCAATAAAAAACTGTAAACTTTTTAACGCTGCATATTTATTTCCAATGTGGTTGTTGTACATTAGACCTCTGCAACTTTAAAATCATTTATATATTTTATGCATCACCAACAGACTGCATACAAACTCCTGTATGCAGCTGTAACATTACAGCTGAGCTTCATTTACCTCATTTTAATCAGGTACGGCTTATCAAGTTGCATTTTTAAAAAGTGCTCCTACAGCAGGGAATCTATAACTAAATCAAACTTCAGACATGCTGCACAAAAAAATAATTAATTAAAACATGGCAGTTCCAGACAATTTTAAACTGAAACTTAGAACATAACCAGCTTTTGACCAGTTCATGCGTTCAGCATTAGAAACCAGGGTGATTTAGCCAGGTAAAAAAGGAACCAGCTTTGATGATACAGAAAACTTGACTTTAACCCAGCAAATCTAAGAAGTTGAGCCCATTTCCACCTACTTGGCTCAGCTCGACTTGGTTTTTAAAGTGGTGGCACCTGGTACAAGGTACTTTTTGAGTACCTATTCAGCTCCAAATAGTCGGAGACCATCCGAAAAAGTCACATCCACAGACTGCATGCCACCAATTGGCAGTGACTTCACTCAGTGAGTCATGAGAGCGATTCCTTCACAAAAATCAAGACCGCCATTTTTAGGCAAGGAAATGACGGAAATAGCCGTACAAAAAGCAACGTTCATACTCTGATTAATGCATTAGAGAGCAACTTGGGGTTAGTATCTTCCCCAAGGACACTTGGCATGCAGACTGGGGGAGCCAGGAATTGAACCACTAACATTTCGATCAGTAGATGACCTGCTCCCGATCTACAGCCACCATAGCCACGCACTAAAGCATACACAAACTGCTTTATTATGTTTCATACTCTTAATAGGAGCATCATGTACAAAAATCAATACTACGTTATATTAAAGAAGACTTAAAATAGGTAACTGAGATCACAATCTAATTTAATACATAATCGACATCTGTTTTTGTACTAAAGACATCGATTCTTGCTGGCCATTAAAAAAATGCTCTTCAAACACAGAGGCTATGACCCACCACCCGAGTAACTTTTCTTGGTCAGTTTTTTTTTTCAGAACCTTTTACAATGACCTCCCTATCATGTTTCATAAAAAGCTAAATATCTAGCTAAGCTAACTTTTGTAACCTATCACAAAAATATAACCAGAGATAACCAGTGCTAACATCTAATAATTCACATACTGTTCATAATATAAAGTGAATGTGTAAGGTAAGAAATCTCTGAGTTCATGTGTTGGGGAAATTACTTGGTAGTTTTATAAACTACGAAATTCTTCACACAAAAGTTAATCTACAGCTACTCCAGAGAAGTCTAGTATGCTAATGCTACTAATGCTAAAATTACATTGCACCATGAAAATTTAAATGAAATGAAGCCATGGGGCACAGTTGTTGAAGCTATGTTAGGAAAATTGGTGACAATCAGTGAGCAGCAATATGGCAGAAAGAGTTTTCTGGGGTCTATGATATTTGCAGATGGCATTGTGATCTGTGGTGAGAGCAGAGTCTGGAGAGGTGTTGATTTGCAATAGAAGCGCAGGAGTGAGAGTGAAAGGGAACGTTTATAAGACACTGCTGAGTCATGCTCTGATGTATGGTTTAGAGACGCTGGCACTGACAAAAGAAAAATAGGAAGCAGAGCTGGATGCGGCAGACTTGAAGGTTTTTTAAGGTTTTCATGTGGTAGTAACCAGGATGGACAGTACTAGAAACGAGTATATCAGAGGGACAGCTCAGGCTGAATGGCTTCATATACGAGTTTATTCATTAAGTGTCCAAGTCCACCTATGTTTGATCCACTCATAGAAAGCACCACTAACACTGGATACCAGCAGCTAACAGTGGAAAAGCAGTGCTTACCAAGAGAAGGTCCTAAACAACAAATATCAGTATCACTGTCACGGAACAGAAGTGAGCTTCAATGACTCCTTTCACAAAGTTTTACAGCTTCCTGAAGACTAAATAGATGTGGACACATACTGACAGCTGAGGTAAACAGTGGACTGACAGCATACACTTACTACAGATAAACCCTCAAAGGCCAAGTGTATATATTACCATGCGCCTTCACAATAGTCATGATAAAAGAAAAAGGGTATGGCTCTGATTAAAGGAGGGTCAAATACACCACCCCAAAACTGTTATAGTGTGAGTAGTGTGACACTATGTCAAAGTATGTCGCACTAGTGTCACACTATAGTGTGAGTAGTTAAGTATACATAAAAATGGAGGCATACGTATTTGAACTACATTAATAATAGGTCTTTGATTACTCAGTAAACTCAACAGACAAATTCAGCGTATTCATTGGCATAGCTATGTAGGTTTATGACCTTCCCTACTCTTTTCCAATCATGGAATATATTTTTGTGTAGTCTCTCTGTCATTGAGGTCATACTTCTTTAGTTTGGTGCATTTCAGGAACCAGAACTGAACCAAGACGAAATGGTATAACGTCTACAAAAACCTAATGATGAAGAATTAAGTTCCCCAAAAAAGCAATATGTATTAGTATCACTTGTTGTTTACAAAGTATTTACAATGGTAAAACTGTAAGTTATTGCAAGTACATGAGCACTCAAAAGTTTCAAGGCTGTTTTTCATATACTAGAAACACATACTGCAGAACTAAATCCCATGCCTCGCAGGACCGGTTGAACTAGTTTTAATCAGACCTGAAATAAGTAAGAATTTGCTCCCACATGTGAATAACAACAAAGTGTCCTATGCTCAGTTCTCACATGCACAGAAAGTCCTCCGGCTATAACGCCTGTGCACTTCAACTGACTTGTTTTACTGTTTTAGTAAAGTTTTAGTTAAAAACATTCGATTTAGAATGTGTTATGTTATTCATAAAAAATAGCTAAAATTAACAACTCTAACTAACTAAAATCTTGCATGTTCTGTGCAAAGGTGATTGCTGTAGAAATGGAGTGTTTCAATGACCTCCTCCACAAACTGAAGGAGGTCCACGAGCGAGAACTAGAAGGTAAGTGGAATAAAAAAAAATTAAATGATTGCAATGGGTATCCAAGAGTTCCATAAGATAATTCCAACACATGTGCTCCTTAAAAGGTCTTTTATATTTTTTTCTTCAAGGATGGCAGGTGAAAGTTCAAGAGCTGTCCAACAAGAAAGGCTGGTGAGTCATTGTGATATGGGCAATCACATTTAGACAGTGCTGAAAATATGTATAAAAAGGTTCATCCAGAGTAGGCCTCAAGTCTTTGTTGACTAGACAGGCAGGTAATCAGACAGGTAGGCATGCTGGTCCTATGCCCCCCGCAAACATCACATTTCACAAACTTGGAAGGAAGCTCATGTTGCAACAAGTTATTCTGTGAGATAATGACTCACATAATATTTGCTTAATTTCTGTGGAAAAGTAAGTAAAGAGAACTTTTTCTTTTAAAAAAAACAAAATATTCGTATATGTATTTGTTTATGCAGTTTATTTGTTTATTTTTGTGATTTTTCAAAAGTATGGCTGATTGTGTGGTGATATATTCAAAAATGTGACTTTTATTCTTTTTTTTCCCCCCTTAAAATGCTCTATCTACTTGTCTTGAGACACTTTAACATATAAATATATAATGTTCATACATACATTTTTGTTAACTGGCAGATCATTCTCAGGCACACACTGAGTTCTTTATTTTTCAACACCACGTGCAATATATACAAGGTGGGGGGAATAGTTCCAGGGGTCCATGGGTAGACAGGGAAAAAGGTGTTCCACTCGCTTCATTCCTCTCACTCTGCTTTCTGCTCACTCACTGTGCTCCTGAGATCCTCTCCCCTCTGTACTGACACGTTTTGCCAGACTGTCACACTCACGTTCAGGCATCCAGGGAAACAGGGGTTACAGGCCGGTTCCAGGGAATCTGCTCTGGAGCAAGGCGGCCCAAGTGGCTCACCAAGCGCAGCGGCACCGGCAGAGGTTATGCTGCACAGAGGTGACCCTGTGCTCCTATTTCCGAGAACAGGGGGAGGTTGGACCCCCAGGAATGCTTCAAAGGGCGACATCCCCGTGGCAGATGGGAGGCTATTGTGTTCATACAAGAGCCACGGCAGTTGTTCACTCTAGGCGGCTTGGTTTTGAGAAACGACGATAGAGCAGCCTCCATTTCTTGATTGGTCCACTCTGTCTCCTCTGGGGGTGACAACCAGAAGATAGACTGACCTTTGCGCCCAGGGTGGAGCAGAACTCCCTCCATACCCGAGAGTTAAATTGGGGTCCTCGGTCTGAGACGATGTCCTCTGGAATGCCATGGAGCTGAACACGTGTGTGGTGAGCAGCTGAGCCATTTCTATGGCTGTGGAGAGCTTTGGGAGGGCGACAAAGTGGGCAGCTTTGGAAAACCAGTCGATTATTGTCAGAATAGTGGTGTTACCTGCGGAGGGTGGCAGCCCAGTGATGAAATCGAGAGAGATGTGGGACCACGGTCAGCCAGGCTTGGGAAGAGGCTGAAGTAATCCGGACGGAGACTGCTTGGAAAGTTTGTTTGGAGCACAGGTGATGCAGGCGGTCACATATTCCCTGGTGTCCTTTGCCAGTGTGGGCTACCAGAAGTAGCGCTGGACCCCAGGGTGGCAGGTAAAATGTGCTGTGTGGGCCAGACCCAGGGTTGGGGTTAGTTTCTTGTGCCTCCCACATAATTGACTCGATCTCCCAAGTTACTGCTCCAACCGAGCAAGAGGCGGCTTCAGGATCAGGGATCAGATCCTGCGGAGGCATCCAGTTTCACGTTCCACGAGCCAGATCTGTAAGTGATAGAAAAATTAAAGCAGGTAAAGAACAGTGCCCACCTGGCCTGTCGAGAGTTAAACCTTTTGGTACTCCATGTTTTTGTGGTTAGTTCAAACGCTAAATGGCTGTGCAGTGCCTTCAAGCCAATGTCTCCATTCCTCCAGGGCGAGCTTAATGGCAAGAAACTCCCCATCTCTGATGTCATAATTGCTTGCTGGGGAGAGATGATGAGCGTAAAAATCCCATGGGTGGAGCTTACCGTTTCTCTATTGTAACAGTCTGATGCATCCACCTAGTTCATGACTTGAGGACTGAGATCTGGCTGTCGTACAATGGGAGCCATGGGAAACCACTCCTTGAGATGGGAGAAGGCTTTTCGAACAGGCTGAACCCACTGAAAGGAAACTTTGGGAGAAGTATACTAGAATCTAGTAGAGCGATTTTGCTAGAGTCCCTTATAAACCAGCGACAAAAATTGGCAAACGAGAAAAAACGCTGGAGCTGTCGGCAGTTAGTGGATTCGGGCCATTCAAGCACAGCTTGTATCTTTACTGCGTCAGGATTCAGGTTCCCCTGCTCAATAATATACCTGTCATGGTCTGGGTGGGTACCTGCAGGTCTCCAACAGCGGCCCCTCCTCCTTTAGGCGGAGTTCGGTTGCTCCTCCCTGGCTGACCACCTGTGAGCAATTATTCCGGCAGTATATCAGACCTGCGCTCTCAACCATTCATCGCCTGAGTATCTGCTATCCCCATAGGTAGCATCTGGAGTGGAGGTCTTGTCTCCCTCACTCCCGCCTTCCTGGACCTGGGCCGCTTGCTGCTGATACGACGTGGCCTGGCGGCCCACCACTCACTTGCCTGCCTCCCCACGCCTCGACCGCTTCCGGGCCTTCCGCCCCACCTGTCACCTCCCCCTGAAACCAATGCCCCGGCCCCTACCTAGTCCTGTTTCCACCTCCCCGCTGCCTCTGCTGTTCAGCCGTCTCCTAGAGGTGTCTAGGTCACCCTCCGTTATCTTAGATTATCCTACGCCACCACACTAGTGGCACGTAGTTTTCTTGCTTGTGTTTGCCTGTGGGCGGAAATAAATCCTTTGTTCCCTTATCGTCTCGCTTCCGGGTTGGTTTCTGCACCTGTGTCCATCTCTGTTCCCTCGTGCCGCTGGGCCTTGACAGTACCCCAGAAAGGCCACCAAGTCCACATGAAATTCACACTTCTCCCCCTTCACATATAGCCTACTTTCCAGTAGGCGTTGGAGGAATTGCCTCACATGGATTTCTTATTTTCTTATATCTACATTAGGTTACTTAATAAAAAGAGTTTGTAAATATAAATTCACATCAACATTAAAAAAAAAATTATACAACATTTTTGTAATGTTCAACCTTACATTTCTGAAGCTGTAAATAGTAACATTAAACAAAAGTAAAGACAATGACTCGTTTAATAAAAAGAAACAGAAATCATTAATATTTGTGGATTTTAGCTCACAATTAGCACAGTTGACAAAACTGTGTCTTCCAACAAAGGCTTTCAAATAATGATCATGTTGGATGCAGTGCACATGTGGAATATTTAATAGAATTCAAATATATTTTTTGAGCCAGTCAGTGAAAATACAACACACTATTAATGTTAAATCAGTACTCTATCAACACATGGTGCAACACAAAACAACACTATATCTACGTTATTACATGACGACAAATATTAACAAGGAACAATTATGTTTCTGCAGTTTCTTTGCATTAAAACACACAGGCGTTAAATTTAAAGAAAACAAGAAATGTTTCCATGTGGCTGGTAAGCTGCTGAGGGTTCTAGTTAGCTAAAACATAAGTAGAAAGGTCCACACTGCAAAATGTTATAGATAACAAAAACATAGCACTGGCATCAATGCATTGACTGCTTGGGGGTATAACCCAGCCATAACTAACATGTGCAACATTAGAGCACTAATTTTATTGAATTTGATTTTTCATGTGGTGAACCTAAACAATCCTGCTAACTTGGTAAACATCTCCTGATCTTTCACTAATATGACCGGTATTGAAATAGTTTATTACTTAGCTCCATTCTGCTCCTTATTCTCATTTGAAGTTAAGCCATCATAGTTTACCTCTATTTCTTCTTCCAATGTTCTTTCAATGCATACTGATGTTTAAGTCATTGAAAATCATAACATGACTGTCAAGTTTTGTAGATCGGACTCACGCGCAGACCACTCGTGTCTTCAAAAGGTGCCTTTATTTACAGTGTTCCTCTACAGTGGAATTCATATATACATATAGTGATGTCAAGGGGAAAAGGGGCCGGGGTTCCAGGGTCCAGGAGTGAAAGAGGCAGGAGTCCAGGAAGGGAAGGTTTTCATTCAGCCCTCGCACATCTCCTCTCCTTTCCTTTATCTCTCTTGCTTCCGTTCAGTCACCATGCACAGGGAAAGAACAGGTCCAGAGGCGATCTATACACAGGCAGAAAAAAAACATTAGTTTCCTGGTTCAGACAGGCTCACAAACTGACTTTACAAAATACAGGACGACTGACGCTGATGGCTCAACGATCCAGCGACGAGTAGAGCAGACTCGCCCTCTTAAGAAGGGTTCCAATCTCTTATGATCAGCAACAGATGTGCTGATCACCTCCAGGTGTGTAGGCCAGGGGCAGGAGCCCATACTGAGCTCCGCCCCGGCAGGAGAAAGAGAGAATGGAAGAGGGCGAGAGAGAAAGGGAAACAAAAACAAAGCACCTGACAGCTGTCAGCTGTCGAGGAGCGGAGACCATGACAATGACACTGTATAAGATGGATTTCCTTCAGTATTCTAGATAGGTGCAGCAATCATTTTATTTCAGGATGTGCAAAATAATTTATGTCACTATGTATGTGACTGTACTTTATGTACTTTTCTGTGAAGTATTTTTGTTATTTTCTTGCACAAATTAATAAATACATTGCTAAATATGCAGCATCACAAAAAGAAATTCAGAATTATGAAAAACTCAAGGCCCTGCCTAACACTTTCCACTTTATTTGTTTATTTATTTATGTACTTTTTTCACCTGTCTCGTTTGGTTCTTTTGCCATCAGAATTATTGTCTAAAGGCAAAGAAAGATGCCAAACGGATTTACTTTACCAAATGGACCATCCCAGCCTTGCCGTATTGGTCTATTTGATTCACCTTTGCTTTTATTGTTTGTTTTTTTTGTTTGTTTTTTTCACTTGCTGCACACGGGACAGACATGACTGGGGGAAAGAAAAGGGAGAAAGAGGGAAAGAAAAACAGCGGGGAAGAGAAATGGTGATAAAGGGCAAAAAACAAAAACCAACAAAATAAACAGACAAAAAATACATTTATCAATCACCTGGATCACCTGTTGAGAAAGAAAAAAGAGAAAACAAGCAAAAAAAAACAGAGCAATATAATAAACAACATCATCGCGATGATCTGTGTGAATATAACAGTAAATACTAAATATTGAATATTATTGTGCAGCATGCAGGATTGACAGCGCACAGTGTGCTTTGAGGTAGGAGCCAAAAAGGGTGTAGTTTGTGTCTGTGAGCACCCGCGTGTACACCTGTGAGCATGAGTGCGCTTGTATTTGAAAGGTTCCTTCATGTAATGAAACAGCAAATTGTATTGATATGACTGCAGTATTTAAAAAGACAGCTGCTTAGTTTTAATGTGAGCATCATTATTGATCAATTAGCCCAGTGGTCTTCCCCACATTCTCCAACCACACACACCCATATATAAACTGCAATAAATTACAGATTTTTGAAAACGCACATAACACACATAACCAGCGTTGCGAATCACCGAAAACTGATATATTTTTTTCAAACTCCTGCCAGGTTGGAGATTTTCAAAAATTTCTTTTTTGCGTTTACGTGTGGACAATGAATGCGGAGTTCGTCATGCAATGTCAAAGGTGTGTGCTTTTTTCACATCAGCTGTGCTCCACATTATTGTTTACATGAGATGAATTTCTAGAACGGCGGATATACAAAATACTGTTACTGTTAATTCTACTCTCTGCAGTTTTTACACGCTTACATATACACACTCAATTACTGTCCCTCCATTTAGAAAGACAGAGGCGTCATGGTGTAATTAGTTTATGTGTAGCTGTTTTTTTTCCTGTGTAATAATATTCAAGATTGCCATCAATACTTTTTCCTCAAAGAAGCCCCTCTGTGAAAAACTGGGTTCAGAAACATAAACAACTGTGGGATACTGTTTGTCTGTGATTTGGAGAGCCCAGCGTGTGCTCCTGACACAGGGAAACCAATTCTGCCGGGGATCACTACCTTGGCACTTGTGCAGATGAAGCCAAAGGCAAGATATGCTTCATCATATTTTGTAGTCTTTGGCTTGGAAGGAAGTTGGTTTGGAAACATATTTGCAAACCCCCCCCCCCCCCCCCCCCCCCCCCCGGCAATGGCTCTGCCCACAAAGGGACCTGCCCCCCACTTTGGGGACCTCCAAATTAGCCAATCTAATGGCAATTTTGGTCTGCATCATTTATAAAAAACAGCAGTTTCAAAAAAAAAACATAACCATGTGGTGGCACTTACACTAGATGATAAAGGATCCAATTTCTGTATCACAATCTCTTTCTTATTTGGTAGTATCCTGAACCAGTCGCTCTGCAATGTTTCCCCATGGCACATCCATGTTTCTGCCTATAGTACTACTCGCCCTTGAATGTCAAATATTTAGAATGAAGATACAGACCTCTCTTATGAACTACCTACACTGCTTCAGTGACTGGAACACAAGTAAAGAGAGATGTAACATAATGAAAGACCATTGTTTCATCCACCTCCATAATAACCTATATGATGCATATACAACTTACATTTATAACATAACTACCTTTCACTTGGAAAGAGGAACATTATGTACATATGTAAATACAAGCTTACGATAATATTTAAACTATGAGGAAATACAATCTTTCTGAAACACATTTTTTTAGTATTAAAGCCTAACCACCTTGTGTTCTTTTGCGTCAATAGTGACACAAAAAGAATGGAAGAACTTTTTACCAGAAACCAACAGATGAAAGAACAACACAGATTACTCACCGAAAACATTAAGGTTCTGGAAAACAGGTATCAATGTTACATTGCATTTTTCTTTTCTTGTATAAAACACTAGAAATAAAGTGGTTTGCTCACTAACAAAAAGTGATCTAATGTTTATGGTAATTTCTTTTTATTGGAAAGAGATCGCATATAACATAAAATTAGCATCAAAATTCAACAGGTACTTATTAATTACCTGTAACTGTAAGTTATATAAAATTGTTCTCTCTAGTTTTTGTGTAAATTGATTAATATAGACTGATTAATACAGAAAGGCAACATGCTGGATTTAGACTCATGACCATTTTGCTATGAAGCTGCAGTCCTAACCAGCACTCCACAGGGGTGCCTTCTGCTGGCTTACTTCCATAATCCAAAGACATGCTTGAGGTTAGGTTAACTGGCAATTCAAAAACCAACTAACCCAACTAATGACTAATTACAGCTGTTTTTAGTTTTGTCAAAGAAAAAAAACTCATTTCAATTGTTGCATAATGTGAGCTACTGTCACATCAGCCTAGTTATTAGGTGTGCTACTAAGTGACTTCTTCCTGCCTGCGCAGGCTTAGGGCTGGGCTGTGTGACAGATGTACGGTCACTCAAGAGGTAGCCAAGAGAAGACAACAGGAATTTGAAGCCTCCCAGATTCAGAGTCTCCAGCACATCTCTCTACTTGGTATTCTGTTCTTACTCAATAATCCATCTATCCATCTTGCATCTCTACGAAACTCCTTTACAGTGAATTTCCTGTCTGTTCTTTAACCTTTGACACCATTAATGTTTCCCCAGTTTATTTTCTACTAAAAATGCTGTTTAAGGACAATTCTATTGATGTGTACTCTGATCATGTCGTTTGCTTGTGTTGCAGCTGGAGAGATGAACAACCTGAAAAAAGAGAACAAGAAACTTAAAGATGAAAACAGAAACTTAAAAGCAGCACTTGAGTGAGTAGATGCTATTTAACGATATGGTTGTTCTAATCTTTAATTTAAAACTAATGCTGATACATCTTATATTAGTATTTTCTGTTTATGAGGAACATTGTTTTAGGCATATTTGTATTTTTTGATGCACGACAAAATTTAAAACCGTCGTCATTCTGTGCCTGTGTGTGTGTTTGTGTAGCAAAGGTCACAGTGACAACTCTTCTAATAGTAGCACCACCACAGAGGTCAAGCCCAACTCTTCCCCTGCCCTTTCACCCGCATCTGGAATCCTGTCCCTTATCAATACAACAACCAGCAGGCCAAGCAACAAGCCAGCAGATGGCAACATTTCAGTAAAGCCTGATGTCGAACTGAAAACTGAAGGTAAAAATGAACAATAGTGGTGATTATATTCTGTCATCTTACTTAATAAATACATGCAGTTTCTGGCTTTGATCAAACAGAAACTGAAGGCAGACAGTTAAGAGGAACCAACCGAAGCCAGTTTGTAAGTTTGTTTTTTCATATTTTTATCATACATTTGTTTTGAATAATAATCAATTTCAGTATTCAATTAATTGCTAGTTGCACTATTCTATTAAGCAAAACGATTCAGATCACAACTTGTAGCACCAAGTGTAAATAATCCAAATTTGCAGATAGGTATGAAAGAATAAGATATAAGATCTAAAATAATATTAAAGTGAAGAGAACAAATGGGAAACAATTACCACCAGAAAAATATGTATGCTTATTTTCCATCATCTTAAGGGACAGTGATGCCATTTGAATTACATGAGAGAAGCATGTGGCACAACCTAAAACTTGTTGTGTTTTTCTACGGAATTTAATGATATTTGAGCTCAAAAGAAGCAAAATGTATTTCTGCTAAAATCAAGACACACATGTTTAAGTTGTTTTTTGTACAATTACACTGTTAGTGACAACAACTTACCCAGTAACCAGTGATGGAACATTAGCTCTAAGATGTCTTAAAAAGCTTTCAAGTGTTATTATTGTATCTATGATTCTATGCATACATGATGGATAAATAAGAGATGTAGAACTGCCAAACATCCCTCATCTTACCATTGACCAACCATGAATGGGTTATAATCAGAATCAGAATCAGAATACTTTATTGATCCCTAGGGGAAATTCTTTTTCGTTACAGTGCTCCATTATAAACAGCCATTAACAAAGACAGACAATACACTAACTAAGAATAGCACAATATATACAGGCATATATATACATAAAGGTCACTTATTAATAAATAGCTGAAAAAGGAAGAACATGTGCAAAAAAAAGGTGTAGCTGTTGCCATAAACAGTGTGTTAAGTGGATATGTTGTACAGGGAGATGGCCACAGGCAGGAATGATTTCCTGTGTCGTTCAGTGGTGCTTTTCAGTCTCTCACTGAACATATAAAACCCTACAAGAAGATGTATTGTTCACCTTAATTATTTTTTCATTAAGATGAATGCTTAAATTTATCATTATTTATATTTATATTGGTAATTAGTTTTTTTCCTCTGCACCAGTTAACATCAACATTTTTCTCAAGCCTTTTATATTACAAATTAAAACCCCTACAATACTAAAGAGCACTTGGCAGTAGTGGGGAGGAAGAACCCCCTTTTAATGAAAAGAGACATTCAGCAGACACTTGGTCAGCCATCTGCTCTGACTGAGTGAGGGGAAAGATCAGCTATGTTTCTTTTTATCCGTCAGTATTAGTCTGTTTTCAGTGGATTTTCCAAATCATTTGAGCTACAGATGTTGATAGAGCCACATGTCAAAAAATGTGTTGCTTTCATATCACCATCATTATACTGTATGAAGGAACTTGTAAGACTGTGTTGTACCTAACCCCTCTATGTGGAGTTTTTCTTAAGCTTAGCTAACATTTTAGTTACAGGTTCCAAAGGACATTTTGGCAATAGGCTGGTTATTATGATAATATAAGGTTGTACTTGGTGACGCAGCTCAGTAATGAAAAAGCAAATACAGAAAAGTCCATTAGTCCATTTTCACACTAACAATGACACTTTAAATAAGAAGCTGCCTATACACATGTACACTGCTTCTTTACAACACTCCGTCATTGAGTCTCATATCATAGATTTATGATTGTTCCCTTTCTTTCTGGAAGTTCCCATTGCCTTTTACCTGCAACTTGTACAAGCTTAGCACATGAAATACTATGAATCAGACTGATTACATTATATTTTCTGGTCTCCTCTGTAAAGCATTATTCTCAAAATCGAGCCAAAATGTTGCTTTAGGTAGTGCACACAGTAAGCTAAAGACTGAAAATAGTGAAATCCTAGCTCTCCTCAACCTTAAATATTAACATATTTTGTCTTATTCTATTTATTCTGTGATGGGTACAAAGACAGCTACCTAGGTAGCTTAGTTTATTTTCTTTCTTTCTTTTTTCTTTATGCTAAGCTAACTAGCTACAGATTTTGCATTTACAAATTAGATAAACCAAAAATGTTTGAGGATAATTCAAATTGTTCTCTGAACTGACAAAACATTGGTTAATGTAATATGGTGACTTCTTTTGCTGCATGCCCTTCTCTGCTCAAACAGGATGCTCTTCCATTGTCAGCCCTCACATTGCCGTCATGGAAGAAAGAACACTTTGTGACTCATGCTGGAGAGAAGAGGTAAGACATAGGAAATCACGAAATGGGCTAATCTGCCACTGTATGAGGATATGTACTGTGAGTAACAGCAGATTCATCAAATTAGTGATTATGTGCTCCAAAGTCAATACTTTTTTCTACATATAGAGTCTGAATATTACACTTTCCCACATTTCTGCACCAGTATTGATCCATAAAGGTTAAGGAGAACACAAAACTTACAGTTTGCATGCTTTACTTGCCAAAAATGAACAACTACATCACCTTTCAGACATTCCCTCATTCACTCCACTACAATTTTGTTCTTGTATTGAGTCATTATGCCAACATCTGTATGGGGTAATTTAAGCTCAATTTATTTTCCTTTCTTATTTTAATAACAAGAGTCTTGCTGCTGTTTTATAAGGTTTATTCTACTTTGCAATAGAACCTCCCCCCTCCCAACCTCCCACCACTGCCTTATCTGACACTTTCAACCAATCCAACAAATAATCTTTCCACTTCTGCTTAAGATTCGGGACTTTAGTTGTCCAAGATTTGGGCCTCTTTAGTTTTCCTGGCCTGAGCAAACATCTTCCCTCAGATAACACATTTGGGCTTGGGACAGTATACTTGTGCTCCCAGTCGGGGCTATTGATGTGTCACACAAACCTAATTCTTACCATCTGAGAACTGTGAAAATGAAGTTGGGTTTCATTTTACAGGAGCTCCTTAACACATTAGTTATTTTATTCATGATGTGCACCTGTTGCAACATGTTACGGCCTCATAGCCTCATACACCAAACCATTTAGGAACCACTGTCCTCATCCAACCATCCATCCATCCATTCATCCATTTTTACAGTAATTATAGCTATAACAAGGCAAGAGGCAGCTTCTGCTCTAATCATTACTGAAGAAAAATAAGTACTGCATCACATTACCAATTAAACCTTAACTGCCAAAAGATTTTCCTACAGACTTGACTTTCTTTCTCATACCTTAGAATTCAAAATGTTGAAGGACTCGACCAGTGTTCCTCCATGCCTACTAATTCTCTGCTTAGGAGATCTTCTGTCCCAGCTGCTGGAGATGTGCGACCCGGCAGACATGTTGTCCATGCTCCTGTCGCCCGACATCCACAAGCAATCAACAGCAACTCTGCTTCTCTTCGCTGGTCTCTATCTGAATCATCTGATTGGATTACTGCCGGCACCAATCCAGTAGTGCAAACTTCACCCAATCCACACTCACAACATTTTCACAGCTTGAACCCAATGAGGCAACAGGCCAGCCCCAGAAGGCAGGTTTTTAGTCCTCCGTTTCCTAAGCAGAGCAGCGTTCAGCCCCCTGCCAGAGAGCCAACTGTGGTTTTCCGATTGACAAATCTGCCAGAATATGTGGAGATTCAAACAAAGCCCACAGAGAAAACAGAGAAAAAGGAAAACCTGCTACCCAAGGTTGAGAGGGTGTCTGAAGAAGGGTTAAAAGAGTTAAATGATGGGCCTTTGGACTTATCTGATCGGGGGAAGTCCATATCCAGTCAAGTGCCAAAAAGTGATTCATCCTCAGCCTTACAAGATGGAACAAGAGTTCAAAAGAGCCCTGAATTGGAGGTAAACACAAATTCTTCTGCAGACATAGCAGAATCATCATCTTCATCTATTGTCATTCCTTCATCATCGTGTGCAACGACAGAAGAGCAAGCACCTGACAAGGATCCTAACCACAAGGTAATTTAAGGTCTTCTACTTCTTACAATAAAATTAGAAGAGGCTGAAGTAAAGAGGGGGCAAATTAAATTCATGGTGTGGGGATGTTCTACCTGCAGGTAGTCAGAGAGCAGGATCAGAAAGAGGAGGTGAATGGAAAGACAGATGAAAGCAAGGGGAAGAAGGTGCCTATCCTCACTCTATCATTACGGCCAGGTAAAGTAGGATGTCTCTGTGATTTTTCCTGAAATTCAGTCAAATATTGCTTTTAAACCAAGGTTACTAAAAATTGACAATGCACAAGTGAATAGTTTTTATTATGTTTTTGTAGCAGTAGTGGTGTTGGAGACTCTGAACCCAGCTCTACAAAAGCAAGATTCCTTATCATCAAATGGCAAGGTAATTCGCCCAAACAAAACAGAGAACGTGAAGGTTTTGTTAGCACATTAACTCATTTTGTATTACAATTTTTATTGAAAAAATACAACAACAACCAAAAACAGCTGACTTTAGTTTATATACACTTCTTTCTTTTGTGAACAATTGTGCATCCTTTTCTTTTTAACAGACATCTTCGGCGACAGATGAGCCAGAAACCAGCTCTGATGAGCAGGACGAGGAAGCCAACCGGTCAGGACACAAAAGCAATCAGGGCTCCAAAAGGAAAAGGGCATCTGTGGAGACAGATGCAGACAGAGATTCCAACACAGACAGCAGTAATCACCTGTTTATTTTCAGATATTTTTTCCTTTCTTCAGTTTTGTTATCTCTGTCTTGAGTGTGGGCTTTAAGCAGATTTCTTTTTTTCTTTTTTTTACCTCATGAGGTCTACATACATTTTGACTTCTGTGCCCCTCGCCCCAATTCTAACCCTACATTTCAGAGAAAAAGTACTTTTGATAATGAAAAGACATTTGATAATTAGGAAAAAATGGGAGAGTAACGTCAAAAAGAACTAAAATGATAGGTTTAAGTTTAGGTCATCATCAATGTAGTTCTTTCGGCCTTTTTTACACCATATCTTTGGCTTGGCAATTTATATTAAATAAATTGACAGAATTATTTTTTTTATTATTGTTGCTGTTGTTTGTCATTGTTTACATTTTGCATTTCTAAATATTTTTAGAGTTTTATGTCTGTCAGCCTGTGCATAAGTTTTGTATGTGCTGCCTTACACCATACAGACGTACATACATTTTGCATGTTCTCTCAGTACCTGTGTGGGTTGTTTTCCATAGTCCACATCTTTGAACTATGGGAGGAAGTTTTAATTGATACATCAATTAAAAGTTTAATTAGTTATTCTAAATTGGCCATGGATGGATGCATGACCAAACAACAACAAAAAGACAATGTGGATAGTAAATTGTATCACCTTCAGTATAAGGCTCCATACTAATCACTACGCCATACTTTTCTCTTTTTTTCAAAGGTTTCTTAGAAATAGCTCTCCAGAGATCTAACAGGGATGTTTCACTAGAGTACACTTTGGTCAGAGTAGGGCGAACAGATCGCCTGCTGTCTAAGGGATTGCAGAGCATTTATGTCTCTTTTTTTCTGGTATTTTAGCTCTGTAGTTCTGAAAAGTCAATACTGAATTGACAGTTCAGTTTTCTAAAATCTAAATCAAATCTGACGCAGTGTCTGTGAAAAAAGCAGGGAAGGCTGTTTCCCTAGATGCACCATTTAAGTGAGTTAAACTATACGCATTTGGATTCAAGCGCAAGTTAACCAGTTACAGAGTGTGCCGATGCGTCATCATACCTGAAAAATCAGGAATAAAGCCAAACCACAAATGTTATGCGGGTTTTGATGAGATGTGATGAAAACTGTCACAAAGAAAAAGAGACACTACTACGGCATTGAGTGGAAAACTTTATACTTTGGTCAGCTTGGTACAAAGCGATGGTCCAAGAGTTGGTCTTTATAATTGTGCAGACATACTCAGGCAAATATGGTAGTAGTGGCTGAAATAAGTGTTTACTGCACTATGCAGCCTGTTTGATCATAAAGATCAACAGACTGTGGTAGTAAGCTACCATTTTATCACTTTCCAGAGAGTACAACTTCTGCTTTAGTCGTTACCTGGCATAGCCCCAACCCCAGCTCTTAAGCTTAACCCTATGTTTCAAACAAAAAATGTACTTTTTTTGTAAAAAACGTAGAAAAAGTACTTTTCTGAAAAAAATGTTGATAGTTTTTAATCCATGTGTCACGGTACTAGGTCGTGTGACCCAGTGTTTGAGTTTTATGTATTTTTGTATTCATTTTCAATCTAGTTAATTTCTAGGTTGCTGTTCAGACCTTATTTCTTAGTTATTTCTGTCATCTCCCCTTGTACCCAGTCTTCCTGGTTCCTGCGTCTATGTTTCATGTCTATGTGGTTAAGTTCATGTCATGTTTTATCTCCATGTCTATGTCTCAGTGTTTCCTGTTTTATTTTGTAAGAGTCTGGTGTTCTTTGTTCATTGTAGTTAGTGTTACTCTCCCCTGTATTGTCATTATGTTTCATTTGAGTCAGCTGTGCTCTCATGTGTCTCTACTTCCCCTGATCGCCTCATGTGTGTATTTAAGTCCTCTGTTTTCTGAATGTCGTGGTCAGGTTGTCTGTTATCTCCACCATTGGCTTAGTCATTGTCATAGAACTTAATAGTATTTGTTTCTTAGTGTTTTTTTTAGTTTGTTTAGGGTTCCATGTTTAACTCCTGCTATCATCCAAATAAAGGATCGCTTTCTGTTTAAACCTGCAACTCCTCGTCCACATCTGCTTTTGGGTCCTGTTTCAAAAAACACACCGGCGCACCCCGCTGTGACACCATGTCAGTTAGAATGATTACTTTCTTTGTCTTTCGCCCTGTTGGAGTATGGCATAAATACAACCAGTTGTTTCACATTCATGTCTCAATTGCACTTGTGTCTGACAAGCAGATTTTTTCCAACATATCCAGATTGTTTTTTTGATGATTTAGGATCCGACCTCTCTTTAAGTTAAAAACCTATTACCTTCTCATGAACTACTACTTTCTGTTGAGTTCTAATTCTGTTATTTGTCATTCACACAAAAAAAGCACTCTGAAATGCTTTCTGTTTTTGTTCCCCCCAGACAACCATCGGGAGAGGAAGCTCAAAATCACAATGAGATCAGAGGAAAAGCCCTAGATAAAGAGGATGTCACACTGACTTGGTAATTTTGCAAGAACTCTTCATTAACCATTTCAGAGTAAAAAGTACAACAAGCCAGTACAGGTATAATTTACAGAGGGGAGAAACAGAGTGCAGCCATCATCAGCCAATCTGATTCTGAGTCTAGCCGGATAGTTTTTGATTTAGTTCTGGTTCTCCACATATTGCTAAGGGAAATATCTGACTCTTTAGCTGCTAAACTCTCTGTTACTTTCACAGACAGCTTTCTGCGTGGTAGGAAGTACATTGTGGGTATAGATCTTCATTTCCTTAGAACAGCTCTCTGCTGTGGCTAAATATTAAACTGATAAGAATGGCAAATCAAAACTGTATTTTCAGTGCAGTTGTGAGCCGTAAAATGAATATTTTACTTGCTAAATTCTAACAAAAACTCCAGATTGCTACAGTAACAGAATCTACACCATCGGGTTATTATTATCTGCAGTAAGCAACTGTAGGCATCCAAGTAGTCATGTGATCCAGTCGTCAAAGACTATTTGGTAATGGGCTTCTGCTGATTAAACTGAATTTTTCTGCCAAAATTCTTTTGTTTTGTTTTGTTTTTATCAGCTGTAAATTAAAGTTTTTGTCCACTTGGGGGCAGCAACTGCCCCTAAGGAACATAGGCATTGTGAACATCCAGCAGACACAGTAAAACTTCTGTCAAAGGGAATTCATTCCATTAGTTTCCAGAGAGTGGGGTTTAACTAAGCATGACAAAAGCCCTGACTGACAGTGAGGATGCAGCAGTATGCCAACTTCCATAGGACACTGGCTAATGTTAAGATTGGGTCAAGCAAGCTGAAGTGGCACCTGGTACCAAACATCCTTTCTGACAGAAGGTGTGCTTTTCAAAAGAGCTACACACTGTAGCAGTCTTTTGTATTTGCAACTTTCTCACCCAAACTCCACCATTTTCTGCCGCGTTATATTTTTAACATCCCTGTGGTCATAACTAGTTCAGGTTTTTCAGGCCATGTTTCCTTCTTAGAGCAGTGGGCTGTAAAGCTCTACAACTTCCCTTTTCACCAGCTGTTATATATGAAGTTTAATGTTTAGCAGAGTATTATATAAGTGGCTGTTGGTTTTGGTTAGTAAACCACAAAGGTTTCATTTTCACCAGGGTATTAAGTCTAAAATGATGAAAAAGATTTGTGCACAAAGAATAAATACAAATAGTACAAACATGTGACATTCTTTATCAGAATAAGTCTTTTCCACATGTCACCATGGAGCTAAAATCTTCATATTTGCTGTGGTCTGAGTGGAAATTTTAATGTAAGCACAGGGTATATCGCAGCTATTAGCAACTGGGTGGAAAACTGTCCAGCCTGACAGTCAGGCTTAGAAAGTCAACCATTTTCTAACATTTTCTAACATCTACCAACCCATTTTCACAGTGCCAAACACCCTCGTGTATGACCAGCTGAAGAGACTAAAATCTGCAGAATTCTCTTTTGTTCCTCATCTTCGAGCAAAACAAAACACGGTCTGCGCTGCTAATGCTTAAAGAACTTCAGTCTAAATGTCCTGGCATGCCCGTCACTGCTTGGCTAAAAAAACAAAAAAAAAAACGTAAATCCTCTTATGTGGCTAACTTAGAAGAATATAAGAAAGAAAGTCCGAAGAGTAAAAGAAGTTCCTCTTCCTCTTTTCTCATTTTCAGACAGCACATATTTTGCAAGTATGAACTTTCCACTAACAGCTGTGACAACAACCTTTGCTTAGCTGGGTGATAGATGGGAAGTGTTAAAAGCAGAGAGACAGCTAAAGAAACTCTTGTGATAAAGCACTGTGAAGCTACTGAGTCCATTTTGTATTGATATAAAAATGGATGGACTGGCAGAGTCAACTAATCTCAAATCTACTTATTTTTCCTTCATTTCATTTTTTAGATGTCCCTGTGTATGAACCCAGATTTGCAGTCCTAATGCTGTCATATTGATTTCTCCTGTTTCTGTTATGTGTGTCTGATGCCATTATAGTCCATTAAGTATGGTATTTTATCAATGGTCAGTGGTCTTTCCCTGCCATTTGCATCTCTTGGTTAAAAAAAATGTGATTGACTATCCTACTGTAAGTGTACTGCTATGTTCTGACTTTTAAACTGTCAAGCTAGACGATGTGCTGTTGAGAGTATTTTTTTTACAATACTACACTGTTAGAAACCTTTTAATGAATGTACTGTTACTGATGTTGAAATAAATTTCCATTCTTAAATGTTGGTCCGGTTTGATTAATTATATTTTAGCACCATAATAAATTTAGTAATCACCACAGGACAAATAACAGGAAATAGAATATGTAATAGAAGTCAAATAGAGCATTACATCTAATGTTTGGTTTTCTTAGGGACGTTATGGAAAAGGGCTGTGCTCCATTGATCGACCTCATTGATGAACCTTAACTTACTGTCAGATAGTAGTTATGGTATCATGTAAACCCATCTAAACAAGAAAGAAGTGCAATACAGCTGATCATTTCAAGACTGCTCAAGAAATTTTAGATTTGTTCTAGCTGCTCAGGCGAAACTGGTTTAATGGTCACATTTCCCCAACAGGAAGTGATGGATGGAAATTTACACTATTTCAGTGTGAGATTATGCTTCCCTTTTCTTTTTGGCAGTAACCCTCATTTTAATGTGAACTGAGACGTTGTATTTTAAGACCAGAAACAAACATTAAATGCTGAAGTTTTAGTTTCGCTGCTCAGGCTAATTCTGGTTTCAACACAGAGACATCATTTGGACAAGAGAGCCCAGGAGCTAACTACTAATTTAAAAAAAACAAGTTCCAAATAAAAATAAAGCTCCAATTAAAGAATAACTATTTAGCATAGGAAAGTCCTACATTAAAAATAGATACTTAGTGTAAAGAACCTGAGACCCACATCAAGGGGCTGTACTCCCGATTAAACGAATTCAAGATGCCCAGAATATGTTTTGATTTTCTGGCTTCACTAATCTTAACCTTGACTAATGAATAATGTATAACACATTACACATTAACACACACTTTTGGAAGCACAACCCCAACACTATCTGACAGAGTCACAACAGATTAGTCGTTCCTTAGCCTGTGAGCTTCCTAGTTCAGAGCCCTGACTGCACTCCGTGAGCTGAGCTTGGGTCCTCTACCAGAGGCCTGGGAGCTTGAGGGTCCTGCGCAGCATCTTTGCTGTTCCTAGGACTGCGCTCTTCTGGACAGAGATCTCCAATGTTGTTCCTGAGATCTGCTGGAGCCACTCGCCTAGCTTGGGAGTCACTGCACCATTATCACTGGGGCCACTGTTACCTTCACCCTCGACATCTTCTCTTCTCTGAGCCCTTGGAACTTCTGCAGCTTCTTCTGTTTCTTCTTCCTGATGTTGCTGTCATTCTGCAACACTACATCTATCACAACGGCTGTCTTCTTCTGCTTGTCTACAACTACCATGTCCGTTTGGTTAGCCACCACTATTCTGTATTTCTATATCTCTAAGTCCCACAGAATTTTAGCTCGGTCATTCTCAACCTCCCATTGTCTCCCATTTTGACTTCAGGACTTCCAGGCCATATTCAGGACAGATGTTCCTGTTCCTACTATGCCGGCCACTTGGTTATGGCGTTCCATGTATGCCCTGCCCGCCAGCATCTTGCACCCTGCTGTTATGTGCTAGAATGTCTCAGGGGCATCTTTATGCAGCCCGCACCTGGGGTCTTGTCTGGTGTGATAGAGCTCAACCTCTATGGATCTTGTGCTCAAAGCTTGTTCTTGTGCTGCCATGATTAGTGCCTCTGAGCTGTCTTTCAGTCCAGCTTTGTCCAGCCACTGGTAGGATTTCTGGATATCAGCCACTTCCATCTGCTGGTGGTGCATACTGTCCAGGGGGGCCTCTTTCTTGGGTTTCTGCTGCCTGAGGTATTCACTGAGCATGCGGTCGCCCATGTCCAACACCCTGAGGGGGTACGCTAAGCAGAAAGAAGGAGGCCGGGGACTAGTGAGTGTCAGTACCATGGTCCAGGATGAGACAACGAACATCCACAAGTACATCAAGAAGATGGCCACAACCGATGGCATGCCCAGGAACTTCCTGGTCTTGATGTCTGTGGCTTCTATCTCCTCCTTTGGCCAGCTTATTATCCCAGCAGAGTACCTGATCACGGGCTGGGCGTAGGTGTTGATAGCCAAAATGTTGTTCTTACCATTCAGCTGACTCCTCGGGACTTGCCTGACCCTTTGCAGGTACTTGGTGGTTGCAGCTTTCCTAGCGGCCTCTTCATGGTTCCCATTTGCCTGTGGGATCCCCAGGTACTTGTAGCTGTCCTCTGTGTCTGCAATGTTGCCTTCTGGTAGTTCGATCCCCTCAATTCTGACTAACTACCTTCCCTCTCTTTGTTATGATCCGACTACACTTCTCCTGTCAGAATAACAGCCGTTGCTGTATATCCAGGTTGTGTGGATCAGTGAAATGATATGTCATTCACTCATGGCATCTCTCTCTCCATAGATACATAGATACATGCAAACCTGATTCTCCTGAAATTCTTTGTTCACAACCATCAGGTGTCAAGTTATGACATATAAAGCCTGCTTCCAGGTCCAAACTACACTGTGTTAAGGTCATTAAGGTTGTCTTTTTAATGTGTGTTAATGCTTTTCATCTTGTTCTATTTAATCTGAACAAGGTACTAAAATACTCAATGATCACAATTGTCATGAATCGCTGTGCGGCAGGCGGGAGTTGGACCCAAAATGCAGGACTCACAGACTCGAGGGAATGAACTCAAAACACAGCTTTATTTGCCGGTAGAACAAACATACAAACTAAACTAAACTGGGAAGCCACAAACTAAGAACTCACAGCGAGACACAGGGAGATCCACACACAGCATGAGGGGCGACGTCACGCCGAACAGAGGGAGACGCAGACAGAAATACACAGAGGGTTAACGAGGAAAGTGGGAACACACGGGGAACACAGGTGACACTGATAATCATAACGAGACAGGGCGGGGTGAACTGAACATGACATGTACGGGCGTGAGAGTCACAAAGTAAACAGGAAGTGCACAGAGGTTCAGACAGGAGGAGAGAGAGCACGGGGAAAACACAGACATAACGGGCTGGGGAAACATGAAACAACCACAAGGGGAGACGAGGGCTCAAAAAAAAACACAGGGCACACAGGGGGGGGGGAGAGAGAGCACGGGGAGAACTTGGACATAATGGGCAGGGGAAACATGGAATAAAACATAAGGAGAGACGAGGGCTCACAGATACACAGAGGGGCACACAGGGGGTAAAAGCCATGAAGGGAAAACACTTAGGGAACAACACAACAGGGCAACTCAGAAAACATGGCCTAAATAAGGAACAAAATACAAACATACAAGAAAACTAAGAACACTGGGCCAACATGGCCCAGGACCATGACAGTACCCCCCCCCCCCCCCCCCCCCCCTCAAGGGCTGGCTCCCGACAGCCCAAACCCGAAAAAACAAAAACAGAAAACAACCCACCCAGGGCGGGAGGCGGGGACCAGGACGGAGGGACCAGAACGGGAAACAAAAACAAACAACAGAAAACACAGGAGCACATGACTATAGTCCAAATAAGGTTCAGGGGCCGACCCAGAGCCCACAGGCACAAGAGTTCACGGGCCACACGGTCGGGGGGCCGACCAGGCGGGTGGCACAGGTGACAGAGCTGGTCCGGAGGCCGGCCGTGCGGAAGGCAGCGGCGGCGGCGAAGGAGACGACGGAGCAGGTCAGGGGGCCGACCGCGCGGAAGGCAGCGGCGGCCCTCCAGTCTCAGGCATTCTGGCCACCATGGCCTGGTGGGCACAGGACCAGTCGAGGCAGGACCAGACGAGGCAGGACCAGACGGGGCAGGACCAGACGGGGCAGGACCAGATGGTGGCGATGCGGGGGCCGGACCAGGCGAAGCACAGGCTGAGGCTGGACCAGACGAGGACGAAGACTCGGAGGCCGGACCAGACGAGGACGAAGACTCGGAGGCCGGACCAGACGAGGACGAAGACTCGGAGGCCGGACCAGACGAGGTTGCAGAGGCTGAGGCTGGACCAGGCGGAGCTGCAGAGGCTGAGGCTGGACCAGGCGGAACTGCAGAGGCTGAGACTGGCCCAGGCGTAGCAGAAGCACAGGCAGAGGCTGGCCCAGGCGTAGCAGAAGCACAGGCAGAGGCTGGCCCAGGCGTAACAGAAGCACAGGCAGAGGCTGGACCAGGCGTAGCAGAAGCACAGGCGGATGCAGCCGGACCAGGCGACGACGAGGCGGTCGCAGGTGGCGGCTGGACAGGCTCCTCGGGCCCTCCAGTTGATGCGGCGTGAGGCTGAACGGGCCCCTCGGACCCTCCAGCGGAGACAGGAGGCTGAACGGGCCCCTCGGACCCTCCAGCGGAGACAGTAGGCTGAACGGGCCCCTCGGACCCTCCAGCTGACGAGGCGAGAGGCTGGACAGGCCCCTCGGACCCTCCAGCGGAGACAGGAGGCTGAACGGGCCCCTCGGACCCTCCAGCGGAGACAGGAGGCTGAACGGGCCCCTCGGACCCTCCAGCTGACGAGGCGTGAGGCTGGACGGGCCCCTCGGACCCTCCAGCGGAGACAGGAGGCTGAACGGGCCCCTCGGACCCTCCAGCGGAGACAGGTGGCTGAACGGGCCCCTCGGACCCTCCAGCGGAGACGGGCGGCTGAACGGGCCCCTCGGACCCTCCAGCGGAGACGAGGAGGTGCTGGCTGGGCTCACTGGAACCCCCAGCGGACGAGGTAGATGGCGACACGGGAGCCGCGGAGTGCTGGATGAGCTCATCCGAGCTTCCAGCAGGAGCCGATGTAGAGCCAGAGAGAATTGGGACCCCGGGCTCAACGTTAAGCTGGCTAGAAAACTGCACTGCTACGGGGAACTGGGCCAAAGGTTCAGGTGCGAGCTGAGCTGCTGGACACACGGGGACCTGAGCTGCTGGACACACGGGGACCTGAGCTGCTGGACACACGGGGACCTGAGCTGCTAACGGTGGAGAAGTAAATGACTGCACAGGGGACTGAACTGATGTCTGTAGTAACGGTGGTGGTGAGAGTGGAGTAGGTGGTGGAGTTAATGACTTCACAGGGGAATGAACTAGAGGTAGTGACGGTTGTGGTGCTGGTGGTTGAGTGGGTGACTGTGCTAAAGGAGGCTGCACTGGGG